CTCCAGTAAATGATGTTGGGAAAACTGGATATACGCATGCAGAAGAATGAAATTAGACCCTTACCTCACATAATTCACAAAAATGACCTTAAAATGGATTAAAGTAAAATCTGAAAACATAAAAGTCCTTGAAGAAACCACAGGAAAATGCTTTTTGCCATTGGTCTGAGCAATGACTTTTTTTTTAATGTATGACACCACAGCATAGGCAATAAAAACAAAAGTAGACAAATGGAATATGGAACTAAAAAGCTTCTACAAGGCAAAAGAAACCTCAGTAGAGTGAAAAGACAATCTATGGAAAATTTTTGCAAGCCATGTAGGTCACTAGGGGTTAATATCCAAAATATTTAAGTAATTCATACAAATCAATAACAAAACAAAACAAACAACAACAAATAATATTACAAAATGGGCAAAGGACCTGAAAAGACATTTCCCAAAGAAGCATGCAAATATCCAAAATGTATATGAAAAGGTGCTCAACTTCACTCAACAAGAGGAAAATGCAAATCAAAGCTACCATAAGATATTACTTCATATTTTTAGGATGACTTGTATCAAAAAGACAAGAGAGATAAGGGTTGGAGAGGCTGTGGAGAAAAATAAACCCTCGTACACTATTAGTGGGAATGTGAATGAGTGCAGCCATGATGGAAAACAGTATGGAGTCCTCAAAAATTAAAAGCACAAAACAAAACTACAATACAATCCAGCAATCCCACTTTTGTTGGTTATACATCCAAAGGAAACGAAATCACTGTCACTTGTTTCAGGTTGGAAATGGGTTTATTAAAGGAATAAAGAATATGTTATTGGCCTTTTCAGTCCTCTTCAGGATTTTGGGTCCTGTTAAGTGGTTGAAAAATTTAATGGTATCATATTATCGAAGGATGGCTACATCTGGAGCTAAAGTCTGAGGGTATGCACAGGCAAATTACTAGGACTGATAATGTAGATTATCAGTCATTACCAAGTATACAAATTATTCTCCCTTCTGGCAATGATTCTGTAGGGACCTGTTGGTGTCAAATGTTATTCTTACTTATCCTCTGAGACTATCATGTGGAAGCTGCTCCATATAGAAGCTGTATCATTGGGTTGCTTGTTGACTCTTACTCAGTTTCTTGTATGAGCTAATTAGTTTTGTTATCCAAGTAGAGAAGCGTGGAGAAAAGGGGCTAGCCAGAGTGATCTACGTAAACTATTTTAGGACACCAGGGCTCCTCCAAACACCACCCTTTACTTTCTGAATGTCATAGATTCAGTGGAGGAGACATAAATCTTTAAGCAGAGGAAATAAACATTTTTTAAACTTTCAATGGATGAAATGCTGAAAGAGCCAGATTTTAGGAGTCAAAGATCTTTTTTAAGGATATCGTAGAAGTGTGCTGACAGCTCAGAGCCTGAAGCCTGCTTGGGATTCTGTGTCTCCCTCTCTCTCTGCCCTTCCCTCACTCATGCTCTCTCTCTCTCTCTGGAATAAATAAACATTTAAAAAAAAAAAAAAAGATTATCTCTCCTTTTGAAATTCTTTTTATCTAGCATGACTCACTTGAAGGAATACAAAATGGGTAACAAAATTATGGATATTTTGTGATATCTGGACTCATGCACAGGTTGGTATCTTCAAGAGAAAGCCATCAAAATGATCATATCCTGTATGCTTCTGGGAAAAATATTTTTGGAACCAATGTGTGTGTCTTTCTGTTCAGTTTTCTTCTTTTCCAATGTTCTGTATTGTATTTATGCATCCTACCTGTATTATTGAACACCTAATAAGTCAAATCCAGTGGTCTAAAATTTGGTCCTAAAATTTCCTGTAGGTTATACAATGTGTATATGTATGTATGTATTTTTTACCCATAGAATCTTACCTACTTTGTACCTTTGTACTTTTTGAGTCCAGGCTACATAAGATTTAAATTTATTATGTCATGATTATTCTTCCTAATGGAAGAGCAGTATGTATATATATATATACTATATATACATACACACACATATATATGATCAGATGTCATATATTGTTTAGATTCCAGTCTAAATGATACAATCTGTGAGTCACAAAACTTAATTTGGTCTACTGCTATCATTTCTGTAGAATTCATGCCCCACTCCTGATAATCCATTGCCTTATAAATTACTTCTTCACAGTGTATTTATCATATGAATCATTCAAAAAGCCATATCAGTACTGCCCAAGATTAAATGGGTTAGTAAATGTAGAAGCCTAGAAAATAATCCTTCAGTTGTGATATTTGGAGAGTTTAAGTGTGTTTGTGTTTCATGATTTTGGCAAGTATATGAGGGGATAACTGTGTGTGGTCTTTATGAGTGCATATAATATTTATGAGGACTTGTTTGAAAGACAAGTAGATTCCTCTACAAGATGGCAGTACTACTCAGTGTCAGCACCACAGTAAGACATGGGAGAGAACAGAAAACTAGTACCAAAGGTTTCTCTACAAGCAAATAATTTGTAGCGATTTAAGAGTCTTTGTCTTCTTTAACCTTCCCTGCTCCTGCCTCCTTACTCAACCCTTTATCTGGCTTCTTTGCCATGGAGGCGCATTTATCTCCTGCAACTGTGAGAAGCATAAAGGAATATGCTGCATTCAGTAGTTGCTATTTTGGACATCATTAGGCCAATTTGCCAGTCCAGTAAATGACCACCTGCATTATGTGGTTTTCTGGATGAATAAATAAGAGCACACAAGTAGGGTCCATCAGTCCACCAGTGAACTGATATAAGTCTGAAACATTGAGTATGGGAAGGTAGTGGATGACATTAAGATTAAGAAATATGGTGTGTGTGTGTGTGTGTGTGTGTGTGTGTGTGTGTGTGTCCTTATCGATATATATTTTTGTTTCAGAAGAATATATGTTTCTCTTTAAAGGGTACATGATAGGAAAAAACAGTAGGAAGAAAGTGGCATTGTAATATACCATGCTTCTTGTTGGTCACATTTGGATTGTAGTAAATGAAATTTCGAAGGCCTGGAATCTATTCTTCTCATTAAAGAAGCAATCACAGAGATGGATGTATCATGCTACAATTAAGAAATATTCCAAATGATGTCACACTCTTACCACAGGCAGTCCTACGAGTTTCTAGTTACCCAAATTTAATATATAACTCTGAAAGCTTGATTGCCTAGATTATGACTTTCTTCCTCTTAAATCAGGAGAGAATAGATAATTTATTTCTGTCCCCTAAATCACTTAAGAGTGTGGGTTGTACAATCTCCTGCCTAAAACAAGAATCCCTACAATAACTCCCTGAAATTTTCACAAGATTTCTGCTTGTTCACTTATAGTCATGGAAAGTCCATTCACTGGAGAAAAAAAAACTGAGAAATTCAGAAAATTTCGAACTCTTGAACCCTCTACTGTAGTTTCTGATTATTACTGTTATGGAAGATCGAAATGGCTTTGGAGGGCACTTCTGCATCCTGAGGAGTAATATACTGCATTATTCACCTTGGGGAATCTGAAGATTACTCTTTCTTAGGTTCCAACTTAGCAGTAGTCATAAATACACAGTTTAAATATTAACAGCACTTACCATACTTGACACTGGATTTGACACTTGTAAAAGAATAAATATGTTTGAGATGTAATTTTCAGGCAGGTACTAATAAGAAGGAGTAGAAAGGAAAAAGAAAATACTATGTAATAAATGATATAGAGAACTACAGTGAGCAATAGATAAAAATACCAAGACACATTACCTACAACATATAAAGGATTTGCAGAAAGTTCTGAAAGAAGAAAATAAAGCAGAGAATTTTAGAATGTCCTCGAGATAGTTGCTTATGCAATTGATGTTTTTCTAAAATGGACAGATGAAAAATAAAGACACAAAGAAGCTATTAAAGGAGAGAAATTGTCCCTCACCTCCTACCATTTTCTCCTTTGACTTCTTTTTTTTTTTTTTTTAATGTTATATTTATTTCTAGGAGAGAGAGAGAGAGACAGCGTGAGCAGGGGAGGGTCAGAGAGAGAGGGAGTCACAGACTGAAACAGGCTCCAGGCTCTGAGCCAGCAGTCAGCACAGGGCCCGACGCGGGGCTTGAAGCCACGAACCGCGAGATCATGACCTAAGCGAAAGTCGGACGCTTCACCGACTAAGCCACCCAGGCGCCCCTTTCCTTTGACTTCTAAGTTCTCAAAATACTGGCATTTTTGTCCATGTCTGTTTTTTGTCCTGTTTTTCTTGCTGTAATATCTCAGGCTCTGAAGGCTTTAACTCAGTCATTCAGATGATCAACTTACATATGGCATTCCTTTTAAAAATTTTTAAAGGATTTTATTTAATTTTGAGAGGCAGAGAGAGACAGAGCATGGGTGGGGGAGGGACAGAGAGAGAGAGAGAGAGACTCAGAATCCAAAGCAGGCTCCAGGTTCTGAGCTGTCAGCACAGGGCCCAACACGGGACTCAAACCTATGAACCGCAAGATCATGACCTGAGCCTAGGTCAGATGCATAACCAACTGAGCCACCCAGGAGCCCTTGTATATGGAATTCTTGTGACCCACACATACCAGTCATTGTTTATTATATTATATATTTTCCTTGGAGAGTAACCTCCATGAGCGGAAATCTGGTCTGTGAATTACTTTATTCCCAGTGCCCAGAGCATGGTTTATCTGTCACACAATAACTGCTTACTGAATGGCTGTTAAATTAAGTACAGTTGAATAGACAGGGAATCTTTTTACAGAAATGAATGGTTAAAGAGACTTATTTGCCCCTGTGATAATATGAAATGATACATGAATTATCTTTATGTACTTCTAAAAGTATTTAATGTGATGTTACACATTTGGTTACACTGGTCTCAGTGAATTGAAATACACCTGATTATGAATTTGAACTGTTTTTAACATAAAGGTCTTCTTGAACTGAATCTCCATGTTTTCAGCATCTGGTTACCATCATCTATCATAGCAGCTTCATCTTCAGGAGTAGTGACAGAAAGCAAGGGGAAAAGCATCATGCTTCCTCTCAACACCTCTTGCCCCTCTCCTGTCACCTTCTTGCTGATGGGCATCCCAGGACTAGAGCACCTGCATGTCTGGATTGGGATTCCCTTCTGCTCCATGTACGTGGTGGCTGTGGTGGCGAATGTGACCATCCTGGCTGTGGTCAGGGCAGAGCGAAGTCTCCATGAGCTGATGTTCCTCTTTCTGTGCATGCTCTCCATCACTGACCTGGTCCTCTCCACATCTACGCTGCCTGGCATGCTCTGTCTCTTCTGGCTCGGAAGCCATGACATTGCCTTTGATGCTTGCCTGACCCAAATGTTCTTCATCCATAGCTTTACTACCATGGAATCAGGTTTTCTCCTGGCCGTGGCCATTGACCGTTACGTGGCCATTTGTCATACTACCATTCTCACACATGCGTGCATTACCATAATGGGTATTGTTGTGGTGATTCGGGGTGGAGCCTTCTTTTCTCCACACCCCATCCTGCTCAAACAGCTTCCCTACTGTAGAACACGAATCATTGCCCACACCTACTGTGAGTTCATGGCCGTGGTGAAGCTGGCATGTGTGGACACAGGAGCCACCACACATTATAGCCTCAGTGTGGCTTCTATCATTGGCTCATGTGATGCCATTCTCACTGCTGTAGCCTATGCCTTCATCCTCCACTCTGTATTCCGCTTGCCATCCCAAGAATCTAGCTTAAGGCTCTGGGCACATGTGGCTCACATGTCTGTGTTGCTCTTGTCTTCTATTCCACAGCTGGTTTTTCCATTTTCACTCACCGTTTTGGAAAGAATGTGCCTGCACACGTCCATATTTTTATTGGAAATATGTACCTTTTGGTGCCCCCTTTCCTCAACCCTATTGTGTATGGAGTAAGGACCAAGAAAATACGGGAGCATGTTCTTAGAGCACTAAGGGTCAAAGTTTCCTGATTAGATCTATAGAAGAGATGATTCAAATATATATAGAAATACAAGAGATGATGTAGAGAAAATAATTAACTGTTCTTACTCCCACAAACTGACTTCCATCTACCACCTAGAATAGTATACCATATGTCTAGAATTTCTAAGAATATTAACTCAGCAAATTATTTTACCTTTTTTTATTTAATAAATATTGGTGATGATTTTGTTCATCTCATTCTGAATATGTGTCTTTCAGATGGAGTTATAATATGAATGAACAGTAGGTAGAAGGAGAAACAAACTTATGAAGATACTTAGAAAAAAAGAGAAAAGATCTCTGAGATCTATATGTTGAATTTTATAGAGTAGTCAGTTTGAAATAATATTGAAGCATATGTATAGCTCTGATTTTTAAAAACAGGTAAGAAATGTTGTATCTCTAGTCTAATTGTATCAAAGTCTCAAGGTACATGAATAGATAATAATGCACAAAGACTGAAAATGTATGTAAGAAGAAATGATCACCCCATCAAGGAAAACAAAAATATAAAAATAAAAATTAAATTCAGGAACATGCATTTGTGTGAAAGTGCCAACATAGGTATTAGAGCCTCTATGGCTTCCACAGCAGTTTTGATAGAGACAAGGGGTACTTCATATTCTGGAATCTACTGACTGCTAAAGTGTAGTTCTGTATATTTCAAAGTTGATGGGTAGTAGTTAGAATAAACCACCAGGATACCCTGTGCATTCAGTTTTCCTCATTGATTAGTTGACTTTGAACTTCATATCAAGACACAAAATGTGAAACCTATTATTAACAAGTTTAAATATTTCCCCTTTTTATTACCCCAATATCTAAGACTATCTTCCTTTTTGTTCATTTTCCTCAGCTTTCACTAGATTCCCTACTATGTGTTTCTCATCTTTTAAAAATATTACTTAAGAACTATAGGATATTTCTTTTCCTGGCAGCTATCTGAAAAAGGGAGTCTGATATTTGTGCTGTGAAACTTTTCCTCACTCCTTGCTTCTTTATCCTGTGAACTTACATCCATGGCTAAGCACAAAGACTAGCATCTCTGCATTCACTACACTCCGTATGTAATTTAACTCTAAGTAGAGTGTAAATTTTCCTCTGGAAAAACGACAAATGTTTGGCATTATTCCTTTGACATAAGGGATTCAGGACTAGGAGCAATTTGAAACTACAATAATGAATTTAATTTGGATATGACAGGTTTGAGATTCACATAGAATATTGGATTATTTATGTCCTAAGGGGGAAGGTCTTAGCTAAGGTAAATATTCACATATTTTGAACATATAAATATGGTGGTCTTGACAATTAAGAGCAGATTCACCCAAGCAGCAGTTGCATGATGAAGAAAATAGAAAATCTGAAAACATGCTCAAATTTTTGCTCTCATCCCCATTCATCTATATTTGCCTAAGACATTCTTAGTTTACAGCTGTTGTCCCAGGTTAATTATCAAGTGTGGCCCTTTTCAGTCTTTGCTCCCTCTTCTCAGATAATGTGTCATTAAGACACCAATGACTTGTTACATTTTTTTAAAAAATATTTTTATTTATTTCCAGGAGAGAGAGAGAGAGAGAGAGCGTGAGCAGGGGAGGGTCAGAGAGAGAGGGAGATACAGACTCTGAAACAGGCTCCATGCTCTGAGCTGGCAGTCAGCACAGAGCCCGACCCGGGGCTCGAACCCACAAACCGCGAGATCATGACCTAAGCGAAAGCCGGACGCTTCACCGACTAAGCCACCCAGGCGCCCCAGACTTGTTACATTTTTAACAAATTTTAGATTATTGCAGTTTTAATGTATGAATGCATTTTTGAGGTATAAAAATACAGTGAAATTAGCAGACCTTAAGTGGACAGTTAGATAAGTTTGAACGAATGTATGGCTCAGGTAACCCACTCACAATCATAGTAGAAGACATTTTCATCACCCCCCAATAGTGCCCCTTCTTTTCTGTCTTGAAACTGTACTGTTGGGGGGTGCCTGGGTGGCTCAGTCGGTTAAGCATCTGACTTTTGCTCAGGTCATGTTCTCACAGTTCATGGGTTTGAGCCCCACGTCAGGCTCTGTACTGACAGCTAAGTGCCCGAAGCCTGCTTTGGATTCTGGGTCTCCCTCTCTCTCTGCTCCTCTCCCACTGACCTATCTCTCTTTCTCTCAAAAATAAACATAAAATTTAATAATATATATATACTGTTGGGAAACTGTATTGTTCATATAATAGGAATACTTGTCTTACCTCTGTCAGTAGGACATCAATGACTCAAGTTACAATTTTAAAGTTTTAGACTATTACATTTAGTATGTATATAGGCTAGAAAGTCTTGGAGTGGGGATTCTGAATAGATTTGTCCAATGATTATTGTTCATGTCCATAACTTCTGTATGTACTTGTTACACATCTGCATGAAACTATTATTTTCATGAATCTGATCCTGAGAGATTCTTCCCATGTGATTCCCAAGCCCAAATCTTGGCTCTATCAGATATTTTCCATGGCCAGGACACCAGGCTAAGAGGATCAGAAACCACTGGAGAGGACCTTTCATTAGAAGTCATGTGCCAGTTGCCATATATTCCCATGAGATACTATCTATTCTGCTGCCACCCTATATCCCTTCCCCCCATGGGAAAACAGGTGGGCAGGCTGCTAGCTATTCTTTTAGCTCTCTGACACCTGAGTCTAGTCCAGAAAAAAGATGTGACCAGGTGCAAGGGCAGGAACATAAGTCCCAGCAACTATTTTATTTGGGTGTAGAGTCACTCAGTGTTTCCAATTGAAAGGTAGGAAAGATAATTTTCTTAGATGAGACATCCTGTAAGGATGGTAGTCTCAGAACTGCCCTGGAGGTTGGCCTAAGCTGTGTATCAGCGATGTACCTTACAGGAGAGCTGTTGTCATCCTCGCCTGGGCTTCTTAAGATGGCAGTAAACTGATTGAACCTGTTATATCAAAAGTTCTACACCCACTTCCCTTAATGTTGATCATAATTTCACAGAGTTTTTAAAAAGTCTTATTTGTTTATTTTGAGAGAGAGTGAGCAAGGGAGAGGGACAGATTGAGGGAGAGAGAGAGATTGAGAATCCTAAACAGGCTCCATGCTCAGCATGAAGACTGATGTGGGGCTTGATCTTACAAACTGTGAGGTCACGACCTGAGACAAAGTCCAGAGTCAGATGTTTAACCAACTGAACCACCCAGGTGCCCCCAGTTTCACACAATTGACTGGATCTGTTATACGAAAAGTCCTACATCCATTTCCCTTAAAGTTGATCATAATTTCACTGATCATATTCCAAGTAAATTTAGGAGATATTTTTAATCTTAGATTCCTAAGTTTTACATTTGTAATATACGCACCAACCAATTGGTTTCCAGATAACACAGTGGTTAAGTTTCCTCTTCAGGAAACATCTCTAATAATGTGTTTTTAATCAAATTAGACACCATGGGTATAAGATTTCACTATATCTGAATTTCATACTGGAATCAACAGGAGAAAAGGATAACAGAAAAAGAGACATTTGTGAACAGCATGAAGTGAATTTGGAGAGGGGACGAGAAAGAGTATTCCATGGTGACCTTCCATTTTAAGGAAACTGGGGACATGTTTAAGGCTTTACTTACTGCACAGCCTTTGGAGTTACTAATTTTTAAGAGAACTGATTTGTGTAATTAATGTACAGGTTTTTTTTTTATTTTTTTATTTTTTTACAAATAGTTTATTGTCAAATTAGTTTCCACATAAAACCCAGTGCTCATCCCCACAAGTGCCCTCCTCCATGCCCATCTCCCCCTCCCCCTCACATCCATCAGTCCTCAGTTTTTGTCAGCATTCGAGAGTCTCTCATTGTTTGCCTCTCTCCCTTTCCCCCAACATTTCCCCCCTTCTTCTCCCGATTGGTCCTCTGTTAAGTTCCTCCTAG